CCGGCTGCGGCAGGCCGGCTGGCTGCGGGGGCGGGGCCGCGTGAGCCTGGGGTCGTACCCCCACTTTCCCTGCTCAGAGTCTGTCGCGGCGACCAGGTCTCGCAGCCCCCCGCAGGGATAAAAAGCGCCGGCAGCCAGGTGGCGGTGCCCGGGCCAGCAGCCCGGTGCCTGCGCAGCAATGCGGGCACCCCCTCCTTACTGCTAGAGCGAATCACGTTGCGTTAGCGCTGGGCGGGCCCTTGCCTGACAACCTGCTTCTACATAGCTGGGGAAACTGAGGCTCCTGTTTCTACACAGCTGGGGAAACTGAGGCTCCAGGAGGTTTGGAACGGCATTTGAAGCCGCAGTCTGCTACAACAGCAAAAGAGAAAGCTTCGGAGGTCTCCCAAGTTCTCTATCCAGAGTTCAAGACCAGAGAGGGAAGAAGGCAGGCACAGGTCAAAGGCAAAGAAATCAGAGAAGGCTTCTCTGAGAGGGCGGCATTAGTATGTTTTCTTTGAGGCCTCCCCGCTCCCCATTTCCTGTTAAGCTTAACCATCCCCCAATCATGCCCTTTACCATAGCCCACAGTGTCTTGAATTGTCTAGGCTTCTGCCTGTCTCCCAGGTCCATTGACCTTCTCCCTTTTCTTAATATGAACCTTCTGGAAAGGAGTCACTATGCTGATCGGTCATTCACCGAATAAGGGTATTTTTAGGGCACACTTACCCATTATCCTGGGTTTTGTGGTTTTTTTTTTTTTTTTTTTTTTGGAGGGGGGTTCGAGACAGGGTTTCTCTGTGTAACAGTCCTGACTGTCCTGGAACTCACTTTGTAAACCAAGCTGGCCTCGAACTCACTGAGATCCTCCTGCCTCTGCCTCCCAAGTGCTGAATTAAAGGCACGTGCCACCACTGCCCGGTTTTCCATCACCCTTGTAAGTACCAACCCATTTGTTGCATCCCAACCCCAAGCCTATGCAACCCTTTCCCTTAAGAGATATCTCAGCGGCCCTTGTACCTTGGCTTCGGTGTAGAAGTGATTTGAGTCAATCTGTCCTTGCTAGAGTCTAACACATGAAACCAGGCTTAAATCTTGTTTTGTTATGATTTCGGTTGACCAGGGGAATTTAATAAATAATGTGTTCATTGAAAAGTCTGGAGGACTCTGTTCCCCACCACCACCACCACCACCACCACATACTCGACCAGATGAGGGAACTGTAGGTCAGGACTGCACTCCAAGAGAGTCCTGAACCAGAGCCAGGAAGCAAACCTTCTGACTTCAACCTTGAACTCTCATTGCTCCGAGCTCGCCAAGCAGGCATCTAGGTGTGTGAGGGCAAGGGAGGGGTGTGGGGGGAGCGGGGGCTGGGACTGAATAAAGGCTGCAAGGCAGAAAGACTGCGGACCTGTTTATTGGGCACACCTGCCTCTTGCCACCTCCCTCCCACAGGGTACTGGCAAGCGACTGCCCCACCCTGCCCGGCCAGTGGGCTCCTTCCAGCCAGAGAAGGAAGAGCCGCAGCACACCTGCTCAGACTTGAGCCACACGGCAACAGCTTCCTTCTTCTTCAGTCTGAGGTTCCCAGAACCGCAGGGTGTGATTTCACTCTTTGGGCTTAAGGCCAGCATGCTTTTAAGGAACAATGCTGCCAACAGAGAACGTACGGCTAGCCTCAGAGGAGTCCTGGGTTCTGGTTCAGCTCATACTGTCCCTTGTTCCAGTCAGGGTCGCTGCCTGGTTTTGAACCCCAGCAAGTCATCTAATCTCAGGCTTTGGTCTCTCATCTTTACAAATGGGGATAGTAAAATCCCTTACTCATAAAGATGCTATGAAGATAAGGAGATAAAATATGTAAAGTGCTTGGCACAGGGCCAATACGAGAAAATACCCTTACGGGCGCTGGCCATTATGACTTACCTTCCCTCCAATTTAAACAGACTCTGTACTCCGTTCAGGTCTGAATCCTAATACCAACAACTGTGTGCTAGTGTTACTTAAAAGTAAAAGGGCGAGTCGGGCATGATGGTGTAAGCTTGTAATCCTAACACTTGGGAAGGGGAGGCAGGAGGGTCAGGTGTTCCAGGTTATCCTTGGCTATATAAGGAGCTATAGGCCAGCCTGGAGTACGTGAAGTGCTGCCTCAAAAAAAAAAAAAAAATGAAGCAAGGACTGGGAACATAATTCACTTTATAGAATGTTTTACCTACCACACATGAAGTTCCGGGTTCCGTAGAACCAAATAAAACTGGGTATTGCAGCGTGTATTATAATGCCAGCACTGGGGACATAGAAGCAGATGTCCAAGGTCCTCTTTGACTACGTAGCAAGCTTGAGGCCAGCTTGGGCTACATGAAACCCTGACTTACAGAACAACAACAACAACAAAGTCACTTGCTTAACCTCTTGGAGCCTCAGTTTCCTCATCTACAAAATGGGGACAGCAGTGGCGCTATTTCACGTAGGCCCTTGTAAGGGTCAAGTGAAATAGTACGTGTAAAATAAATTGCTTGGCCCTGGTCCAGCAGACAGGAAGTGCCCACCACCGTCATTGTCATCCTCATCCTCACCAAGGACTCGAATGCTCCAAGGCTGCTGCTCCTGGACCAGGTAGGGGTCCTATGAAACGGTTTCCAGAACTGTTTCCATTCTAGTCTGGCCCTTTGCTGTTGTGCCTTTTAGAGCAAAAGGGCTACACATTGGATCCCCTCCCCATCCAGCCGTCCCTGACCATGGCTGTGCACAGTGACTGCACTGTTCACTGCCTTGCTAGAGACTCCTTCAGAGACTTTGTTTTTAAAACTCTGGCATTGTTAAAATTACTACCCATTGCCCAGTCTTAAGGACTTTATCATTGACCCTCTGACTGGGTTGTGGCTGCCAAGACATTTAGGATGAACCTCCACCTGAGCAGCTTAGCTTACTTTTCAGGAGTTCTTTCCTTAAAGGCACTCACAATCTCGGGCCCCGTGACTCTCTTGCTTCCTTGCAGGAGTGTGGAGTTCTTCCTTGAGAAAGTCGTCAAGCCCGCTGAGTGACCATTCATGCCTGCAACCCCAGCACACAGAAGGCTGAAGCAAAAGGACTGCAAAGGAAGTCTGAGGCCACCCTAGGTTGCATAGTGAGACCTCCTCTCAAAAAAAGAGACGAAAAGTCCTCAAGAAACCCAAGGTGACGGAGCATCTCAGGTTGTTTGCTGGTCTTCTGCCCAGCTAATGAAAAAGTCACTGGATCAAGCTGTGCAGACAGAGTCCCTGACCCAAATGTACTGTAAGCATCTCGGGCTCTGGCGGAACCTCCCAGCTTTCCTGTGCATCTCAGCTGCGTCATCTCTAATCCTTCCCACAAGCTTCAGTAGGATGAATTTATCCATTTTATCCCCAGGGAAATGAAAGATTCAAGGGGGGTTAATGCTGGGGATCTAGCTCAGTGGTGGAACATTTGCCTAGCACACTTAAGAGTCCTAGGCTAAACCTCCAGTATTCTCTGCAAGAGGGAAGAAGTGGTTAGCTGTAGACCAAGCTTAGGTGCGTACATGTCCAAGTGACAGCCCCCTAGAAGGGAATTAGAAGTGGCTCCTAAGAGCTGGCCACCTGGAGGAAGCCAGAACGGTGGCACATTTCTTGGTTTATGACTTTCAAGGGAAGGGCAATAATCCTGCCAGAGTTGGACTTCACGAGGCTCCACGTCTACCTTCTCTGCTGTTTTATTGGCCTTGCCTCCCTGGGAAGTAGTGAAAGTGAGCGTGGTGCAAGTCCAACCCAGCCCAAAGCCAAGAGCACTCCAGGCTCCTCGGATGTAGCTCGAGGAAAAGGAACCTATCTGATTGGACTTGAATATTTTAGCCTCTCTCCCGCCTGCAAATACTCCAAGTGAGACCATCAGCATTTCTTCTCCTGATATTAGGAGAGAGATCTATTCAGACCCTGCAGCTCTGCTTCCCAAAGTCTTGAGGACATGACAGTCCCCTGGTCTCTGTCACCAGAGATTTCTATTCCGTAGGTCTGAAGTGGGCCCAGATTTAACAGGGTCCCTTGGGTGACTCTGCTTGTCCATCATTCAACAGATATTTAAGTTACACCTGCTAGGTACCAGCTACTGCAGTTGGTGTACACATAAGCCAGTGCCTATAGAACATCTGCCATTCCTGCCCACATACTGGCCAACACAACTGTTAAGCAAACTATTGTTCAATGAGGGAGGGAGGACATGAGTCTTTTTTTAAAATTATTTATTTATTATATATGCAGTATTTTTAGTACAGAAGAGGGCACCAGATCTCATTACAGATGGTTGTGAGCCACCATGCGGTTGTTGGGAATTGAACTCGGGACCTTTGGAAAAGTAGGCAGTGCTCTTAACCGCTGAGCCATCTCTCCAGCCCAAGGACATGGGTCTTAACAGGCAGTAAGGCTTTCTGGAAGCCTATGGTCAAAGCTATGGTGCCACATAGCTACATGCTGCTCTGTGTCCCAGTTTCTGTGTCCAAGGCCAAGATGAACTTTTAAAAGACAGCGCCTTTGTACAGTGGATCCTTCAAGTCCCTATCTTAGTTAGGGACTCTATTGCTGCCTGAAACATGATGACCATAAGCAAGTTGGGAAGGAAAGGG